ATTCATCATATATTCGTATATACCTTTACAATTACTATTTTTTATCTGAAATACAGGATTCTCCTAGTTCAGGTATATGTGTTATATTTTACATAATTAGTATTATTCGCATAATTAGTCTTTATTTATTATTTGTACAATACGTTATTCAATAAACAATTTTATTTACTTATTTATTTATTATTTACTTGAAATCGTCACATTGGTTAAACTCCACCGCTCATTCGTAAGTAATTCCCCTGAGAAGAATGAGCAAGAAACTCTAGGGGTTGCTCTTTGTAAATAACATTTGTACACATTCAACATTTACAATACATTTTTTTTCCTTCAAACATCAGAGATCGAGGCTACCTCCATGAGCTAAACGGGTTACTACCACAGATTTTTGTCATCCAAGTATGCAGAAGTTGTAAAATAACCTTTGAATTCACTTACATTATAGTTTTAAACCTCGTCAATGGCAACTTTTGTATATTAACGGGAATCTTGTTATAGAAGCATATATATAGCGCCCTAAATGAATTTGTGACTTTGTGAAGAAACCCTATCAAGAACAGCTAGTTTATTTTTATTCCTCGTATTAATGTTATGTCTGTCACTATTTTTCATAAAGAAATTGCTATTCCTCTTAACATAAATTACATTTTCATAGATATACTGTGATGTGGATGTAAGAATATTAATTTCCTTAAACTTATCTCTCAAAGATACTCTGGGGCAAAGATTGTAAATTACCCTAACCGCACGTTTCTGCAGGACAAAGATTCTATTGATATCGGCGGCATTACCCCAAAGCAAAATGCCGTATGTCATTAGACTGTGAAAGTAGCTGAAGTAAACCAATCTAGCGGTTTTGACGTCTGAAAGTTTCCAAATTTTTTTAATCGCGTACACTGCAGAGCTAAGCCGTTTTGATAACTTACTTATATGTGGTCCACGTATGCAATTGCAATTTAGCATTTAAAGTTATACCTAATACAACTGTATCAACAAGATTCAATCTTTCGTTTCTAACTACAATGTTTGTAACCGTCTCTAACATTGGGTAATGTAAGTTTCACACAACTTGTTTTTTTCTCATTAAGGGTCAGGTTATTAACAGCAAATTAATCAACTACTTTAGATATAGAATTGTTCATCGTCGTAGGAACATAGCTGCCTAAAGTTTATTATTTTAGGCACCAATACATTTTATTACAGTTAAAGTTAAAAAAAACTTTAAACAATAAGGAAGTATCATCAGCAAACAATACTATATCATGTTTTATACCCTCCATGAGGCTAGGTAAGTCATTAATGTAAACTAAAAACAAAAATGGGCCTAGAATTGAACTTTGACGGACACCCATGCTAATTGCAGACCCTGATGATCTCGTACCGTTAACATCCTTCTGTACCCTACCACTCAAATACGATTTAAAACCGTCGATGTCACGTCCCGACACGCCATAACGGCGAAGTTTCCTGACCAGAGTATCAATAATGACAATCAAAAGCCTTGGAAAGGTCACAGAACACACCAAAAGCGTCATGTGAGTCTTCCCATGCATCAAACCGATTGAAACCAAATTGTCTAGGAGACATTAAAGTTCTTACTATAAAATTTTTTTCAAATATTCTACTGAGAGTTGGTAGTAGAGTAGTATTGAAATAGGTCCGAAATTGGTGGGGTTTGAAAGACTTCCAGATTTGAAAAAAAAAATAACTTTACTTTGCTTTTTAAAGACTCATGCGCAATACAATCAACTAAAGAACTAATTACTCTGACTGAAATACCATCAACGTCCGCAGTATTTTTCATGTCAGTAGACTTAAAGGCTTTAACAATGTCGTTTGGAAATACGCGACGGAACCTTAAATTAGTAATACTAACTGCATTATTTTCTTTTAGTAAGGATTCAGCGGCGGAGGGAGATGAATTTAACGACTTAGTTGTCAAAATTGGAATGTTAGTAAGAGAAAATGAAATATTTTAGCACCTTCTGCGTCTGTCTTTACAATTTGTCGTTAAATCTCAGTTTAAAATCTAAGTTACGAGGTTTGACTCTTCCAGTTTCGCTGTTTATAATATAGTCGTTTTTACTACATTCGCGCTGCTTTTAATTTTATTCATTTATAAACATTGCTTTGGCTGCAACTCAAGCACGTAACATTTTCGAATACTTCCTAACAAAATCATTATAACTGTTAATACAGCTATTGGTCCTTTCATCGTAAAGATCATATAACCTTTGTCTACTTTTATGAATTCCCACAGTCGCCCAATCACTAAATTTCAATTAATTATTTAATGGTTTTATGATTTTGGACTTATAAACATTTTCACGTTCAGTTTTCACTATGTTGAAAACTGAATTATACAATTTATTGGAATCGTTATCGTAATAGAGCCTCCGTATACTACATACGTTTGGTGGCTTACGGATGCTTCGGCTTCGCCCTCCGCTAGACCTCCGCATTTATGACTTTGTTTTAAAACATTAACATAGCTTTTTAATGGCAGCCATATTGAAAAATGGCAAGAAATAAATTTTGACTGCAAATAATTATCCAAAAACGCTTATGGTGGTCACATTGAAAAATGGCGAAAAACGAATGTTGATCACAAATTATTATCAAGCACTCCTAGAGACCCACATGCCAATTTTCAAAAGGATTAGGACAATTTTTTTTACCGCTAACGAATGCTTGAATGACGGCCTTATTTGAAAATGACGAAGAAACAGTTTCGAGCACATATTATGCCAATTTTGCATGCCAAACAGAGCAAATCTCTATCGGCAACTATTTTTAATGATAAAAACGCTTATATGGCATCTATATTAAAAAATGTCGAAAAAAAAACTTTTGACCCCCTGGAAAAAAAGAGTGATTCTTTCTACATTCAGATCATATCATATTTGATTCTTCGCTTTGGAACCTATAACCGCGTGTAATGGTAAAATATCTTTTTTTCAGCATATTGGGAAGAATGCGTTCTATTTTTCAAAGTGGGACAGGATTTGTAGCTTTATATATATAAAATAGCTATGATATGTCTTTTTAAAAATTAATCACTAATTTTTTTTTCTGACATTCGATTTGTCTTTGATTTGTCTGTTTCTGTGACCATGGAAAAATCGAAATTGCGTGTTATTTTGGAATTTGAGTTCTGTTGTGGCACCGACGCAGCACAGACGGTAAGCAATATCAACGATATGCATGGACGAGGTAGAGCAAGTAAGCGCACAGTGCGTTTTTGGTTTGATCGCTTCCTTTCTGGAAATTTTGATATCAGTAATGAGCCAGATGGCCGACCGGATACGAAAGTTGATAACGAATAATTAAAAGCCATGGTGGAAGGAGATTCATCTCAAACAACGTCGAAATTAGCAACAACTTTCAATAGCGATAAAATGATATAGATTAATTTGCATCAAATTGGAAAACTAAAAAGCTAAGAAAGTGGGTGCCGTATGAACGCACTGATTAACTACAACAAAATCGCGAGGAATTAATTATAAATAAGCCAAGCTTAACTTGTTGTACACTCATTCAATTGAGTGGATTCTGAATCGGATTGTCACTTGTGTTGAAAAGTGGATCTTGGTTGTCAATCGAAAACGTCAGTCGTCGTACTGGTTGGCCACAGGATATACAGCCAAACCATGTCCCAAACGCAAATTGAGTCAGAAGAAGGCTGCTTCTGAGTGTATGGTCGACCTATCCAATATTGTTCATTACAGCTTCTTGAGACTTAACACAACAACTACTACAGAGGTGTAATGTGAAGAATTGCTGCTGATGATGGACATGCTTGCTGTCAAACAACCGAGTCTTGTCAATTGCTCTAGTCCCCTCTATCTCCACGATAACACTCGTCCACACACACAGTCACACACCATACTCACCAAATCATGCTCCAACTGACTTTTATACAATAATAATAATAAAAATGAGTTTAAAATAAATACGAAAATAATAACAGTAATAACGCACACACACTCTATACTTATCCGATGAGACGGAGACAAATGCCTTTGAATAGTTCATCGATTCCCATTCCTAGGGGTTTCACTGAACTTACATTAAAATGGCAAAAGTTCATTGACAGTAATGGTCAATACTTGGACTAATTATTAAATATATATTTTTCATACTTTTTTTTTAATTCTGTCTATATAAAACATAAATTTCATAGGTAAGGACCTAATATTTAAACACCCTTCAAATACAATGAATATACCAAAAACAATTTGAAATATTCCCAATATTTTTCTATGCTGTAATACAGTTTACAAAACAAAATAAAACTTAATATAAGGAAAAATAATATAAGGAACAATACAAGGTAAGAATCGAACCAAAGCTGCATGAGTTGATGTGAGAATTTTGAAATGAAATCTAAAAGAACTCGTCCAGAAGAAAAACGGAAATGGAATACGGGACGCTACAGGGACTACACTATAATTCTTAAACAAACAAGAAATGTTTTATCATTAATAAAATTCATGAACTAAGTAACAATTTTTTTCTTAAATTAGCAAAAATTAATATTTTCACGTTACCTACATTAACTAATTTAAAAACGAATTTCACTGCTATATGATAGAAAACGTAACACAAACAGAAAATTAGAATAAACGTTTAGAGACCAATTTATTGAAATTTTTTAGGAGTTTAAAAATCAATATATGATGTGAAACACTTTACAGAACAAATTATCAAATGCAAACTCGGTTTTATCTTTTCTTTTTCTTACAAATACATTTATTATTTTTAAGTTTAGTGTTTGTATGCTTCTTTTTGTTCAATGTATAATTTAAACTATCCGAAGATTCAATTCTTAAATGAGGATCTTTCGTTCTTGTAATTTCTAAGGCAATATCTGAGTCAATGCATTTACTACGTTTTGTATCGTTTTTAACTGGCCTCTTTTTAATCGGAGGAAGATCTCGTAAGCATCTGACATCATATCTGCTGGAAGTTTTCGTGTTAGTTGCCTCATCTCGAGTACGTACATAAATCGAACAAGGTGCGTCAAATGAATCGGAAGATTCGCAAGAGTAAAACGTTTTTTCAGATCGACAAGGTGACTCCGAGGCAATGGTTTGTTTTGTCTGTTCTATTCCTAGTAATCCTGCGAGACTCTTTGCTATCATTTCCGCAAAGCTATGTTTGGTTGATACAGTTGGTACGGTCGTCACGTCTAGTTCAGCGATTACAGTTGATACCGCAGGTTTATCTGATTTACATGGGTTGAAAGTTGTGACAAACTTTCCGTCATCATCGTTGATCACAAACTTTCTGACATCGTCGTTGACTTTACTCTCATCTACTTTATTATAAGAGGCATCGTGAAAAAGGACTAATTTCTGATCTTCGTTTGCTCTACCACATGGACATTTCTCACTCCAAGTTTTTCTATCGTAACATTTATTATGAGACAAACCTGGAGTGTCGCAGACTTGACCTTTTCCATTCCAAGCTTCCTTTTGTTTCTCTTTTAGACCACAAAGCTGACAATCTGCAGATATTTCTGTTTCCTCTACTATTTTTGACGGAATAAAACCACTCAATGCTTGTAAACATTTTTTACAAATAATTATTTTGCGTTTGAATTCTTCCGATTCGGCTTTAATTTGTTTCAGGTCAATCGGAGAATCGACTTTACTTTCCTCTTGATTGTTCACAAAAACATTGTCGTCTTTTTGTATTGAACTACATTGCTTGGATGGAAGTTTAGATATTTCGGATATTTGACTTGTTGTTGATACTTCCTTGTAAACACTATGTAGCTCAAACTTATCCGGACGCCCTTTTTCTTTAATTCTTGTACTTTTAATTTTTAAATGGCTTTGTTTGGAAAATTCAGATTCAGGTAAAACAACAGATTTTTTGTCCTTTTCACTTTGTACCGCTTTTCTTTTTTCGATAAGTTTTTCTTTGTCCGCTGTAAACATATCATTTAACGTTGTCATTTCTACTTCGCTGTCGCCTGATGTCACCGCATGTTCTTCGGTAATTATCTTCGACTTAGAAGTAACATCACCATCTGTTGTAGTTTTATCAGGATGTAAAGGTGATCTAAATGCTCTCAATTCTTTCTGTGAAGTTAGTTCAGGTGGTTTTTTTGTAGAAATCTGCTGATCAACTATTTCAATTTCTTTAATAACGAACTTTGGTTTTCTTTCTTCTTCTTTAGATTGAGTTTGTTTTTCATTATACGTAGTATTTGTATCTTTCGATTTTTTTGCTCCGTTTTCGGGTTGTTTTAGTTCCTCATTGAATTTGTTTATAGCAGAATGTACCAGATCTCTTGGATAATCATCTGAGTCCCATATTTGTATTCCTCGTTTGTTAAACTTTTCTACAGAAGTCTTAATAACTGAATCTTCCGATTGGCAAGAATCCAATATTTTAATGTCTTGTAATTTTATATTGCCTCTTTTGTTCCCTTTTTTAATTTCCATGCCTCTAGTGGGTTCATTTTTTTCTCCAACCTTTACATTGCCTGGTTTATTTATTATACCTTTGTCGTTTTTTTCTATTCCAAGTGAAAACTTTAAACTTTCTCCACTAAATAAGTGATTTACTCCTTCTTTGATGTAGTCCACTGTGTTCAATAGCGTCGAGTTTTTAACTGACAAGCTGTCATCTTTTGATTCAGGTTTCATTTCACCAATACTATCTTCTCTGTTATGTTTGTCTTCGTTTACACGAACTTTAGTCTTCGATTTTATTCTATTTAGTATTTCTTGTAATATTTGTTCTTCTCTTTCTAACTCTTTTAATGCGTTTGATTCGATTTCTTCAATATTGTTGAGTTTCAATTTAAGCGAAGTTTTACTGTCGTGTATGTCGACCTGCGTTGCTTTTAAGTAAATTCCATATTTATCGTAAATTTTTTTACTAAATTTATTAAAGTCTTTTTGACTAGCTTTTTTACCCGTGTTTGATATTAGTTTGTTGAATTCTTCTCTAATCTTTCTTCTCAGTTCCAAGCTTGGTGGTGTTTCGTTCATATTTAATAGTACAAATTTAATATCTGTGTTGGTTGCTTCATTCTTAAACGTTATTCCATCGGTTAACGTGGATCTTGTTACAATATTCTTTTTCATATCGACATTCTTACTGTGTATTGTAACAATAGAAGATGCTTTGGAAACTTGGTCTATGGTTTCAACCCGGGTTTCCTTTTCGATTTCTTTACGACGCTCTTTGGCAGCGCGATTAAGCTTGATATCGTTAGAGACATTTTCATAGTTTGCAATCTCTGCTTTTAAGCTTATTATTTTATCAGAAATTGATGTTTTTAACTGAGGATTAACCATCGGTGAAGTAGCCTTAGTTCTTTCTGTATTAGATTTTCTTGAAAATATTGGCGCATCTTTATTCGAAACTTGGTCCGAAATCTTCGAATGGAGTACTTTCTCACTTTCTATAAAATGTTCCTTGACTGGACGATTTCGCTTGATATCAGGATGGACATACGAGACACTCGAACAAACTTTATTGCTTGCATTCTCTGCATTTGAGCTCACAACTTTACCAGAAATGGACGTTTTTAATTTTAGATCAGCCATCGGTTCATTGGTGTTGATTTTTTCTGACTTACTTTTCCTTGTACTGGACGCTCTATTCATCCATTTTTTCTTATTAGTAAGGAAATTAAGATCATCTCCAGTAAATTCGTTAGGCACATCTTTGAACAGCGAATTAAAATATTTGTCTTCGAATTTTGTTATATCTTCATCTGACGTATAAAAAGCACTTACATCAATATTGCTTTTATTTAAAGTTGAACTGTGTTCAGTGATCTTTTTCTCTTTTGTTACTGACCCATCTGGATTGCGATAAGTTCGTATTTTGACAGATTTGTTATATATCTCTGTAACCGGTTTTAACGAGTCGGGTCTCTTAGTGGAGCTTAAGGAATCGCTAGATGTAGTTTCTGTATCTATCCGATAAATATAAGGTGTTCTCAAAACAAAAGAAATCTCCGGCCTTACCGCGTCATTTATTGTTGTATATTGTGAAAAAGATTCATTAAATTTACTAACCGGATTTTTAACCCCAACTATATTTTTAGCCATTGTGTATGGTATTTCTAGTTTTATTTTGTCGTATGGCAGATGTTGAAACATTTCATACGGTTCTGATGTTTGTTTCAGGAACGCTGATGTTTGTAATTGTCTTGAAATTCCATTGTCAATTTCTGATGTATGTAGTGCTGATTCTAACGGCATATCTACAAAAGAAATTGCAAGCTCTTCTAAATTTAGTTCTTCTGATTCAACCAATACTGATTTAGTTTCCGTGGACGTAACTCCTATTGAAATATTTTCGTTGAAAATATCTTCAACATATATGACTAATTCTTCTTCCTGAGATCCCGCTGGTGAATGCATCTTACTACTTTGACCAGATGGTAAATACAGGTGTGAACGTGTCTCTTTATTTTTGAGGAGTTTTTGAAAATAGCACGTACTGACAAAGGGCTTATCGCTTTCACAGGTATAGAAGCGAGATTTCTCCGCACAGCTGGAAACAGGTATTTTTTGAAATATTTGTATATATCTCGACACTATTCAAATTGATTTGACCATTTGGTGCTACCAATTGTTTCATACTTGCCAAGCGTAAGCCATGTGATCTTAAATTGAGCTTTAAGACTTCTTCAGTATTCGTATCCAAGTATCCTAGAACTTGAGTACCATCACTTCTACATGTAACAACTTCTTTTCCTTGTTTTTGCTATTTGTCCTTTGTCAAAGCTCTGGCACAAACGGTGCATAGCGGTTATGGTATTTTCGTTCAGTTCCTGTAACACTTTAAGACAACAATGACACATTATAATTGCAGCAGCTAGTGTTTCTCTCAGCTGCATAAAACATTTAAGTCTGAAATTGTCTTCTCTTTCTTTCTTCTATATTGACTTTTGGTATAACGAGACTAATACTTTGCTTTTCCAAAAACCAATTTGTTTTGATGGATATTTGAGTCCTTGACAAGTATTTTTCCAAGCTACTGAATACTCGTCCTGACTAATAAAGATAATTAATAATTTGTTTTGTTTACAATGTCATGTGGACATATAATTTTTCCAAGTAATATGTACAAAAACTAAAATAATACACAATAAACTTATATTTTAAATGTGTATTCACGTCATTACTTATTTACAGAATAATCAAAAGAATTTAGAATTTTAGTAAAAGAGTCTCCTTTTGGTTTAGTCAATGTTTCAAAAATTTCATACATTACTTGAATTTGTATTTTTGTAAGCAATAATTTCATCTTTAGATAAACTTGAGTACGAAATGCAACGCTTTTTCAAACACTCAGTTGACGACGTAAGTCCAAAGATGAACATTGATTTTGCTTTCCTTAAGTTGTTAAATGTTTCACTGCGATCTTTCAAGAAGTACCCGACTGTTTTGGATTTATTAGGCCATTTGTGTTCAGGAGTGCTCTCAATTGAATTTGTAGAAGTGTAAGGCAGGTCTTTGAGACTGTGAACTTCGATACTTTTGATTGTTACATCGTCATCTTCCACGTCTTCAGGCATAAGATTTACAGAAGGATCGTACCTTGATTCTGTTAGCACTACAATATCAGATTGTTCTTTCATCTCACCAGTATCATCTCTGTACCTTTTCTTCGTAATTATTTTCTTTACTCGAGTCTCGTGCAATCCCAGTCCGTCATACGCATTGTATTCAGGGATATTTTGAACTTTTTGCGTAGAGGGAGATGTCACAACAGGGACAATATATTTTGATGGTATTGCGACTTTGATTATATCATATTGACAAGCTTGTTCGCAACGAGTTTTCGATTTTGTTTCATACAGAGAGTTTATTTTCATATTTCTTTCTGATGAATCTATCCTCAAACCTTTTTTCGGAGGCGCAGATGAAACAGCAGGCACAACACGTTTCGATAATATTGCGTCTTTGTTTAAATCACGGTGACTAACTTTTTGGTAAACAGTATCTTTCTCCAATGAATCCGATAATGGTTCTTTTTGTGTCAGTGTAGTAATTGCTTGTAACATGTTATTTAAACATTTTTCAAAAGTATTTACCATTTGTTGTTGATATAACGGTAAAGAAGCCTCACTAGTAGTAGCTTCTACCGAACATTCGGCTGATTTATTTTTAATATTTTGACAACATTTCATAATATTTTCTACGGTTTTACAATTAAAACCGATCAAATTTGCTGCTTTACAATGTTCTGTGACTTTTTCTTCAGATTGTATCCTTTCTTCAAGTTTAACTCGAAAATCATGACAAGCATTTACAAAATTTTCTAAACTCCTTGAAACTGCACCCTTTTGCATGGCGTTTTGTGTCATTACCTCAACATCAGATAGTTGCCTTTTTAAATATTCTGTTAATCGTTGTTGATCACTATTTAAACTACCTCTTTTTTCTTCATCATGCATTTTTTTCACATGACTGCCTAATTCGGTCTGAATATTCTTACAAGAATCAAGAAATTCATTTGCTTTAACCGTGAAAACTCCTTCCCCTTCAAAGGATTCTATTGTGTTACTTAAGTAAGTTATGTGTTCATTTAGATTTTTCAACTGGTTTTCTAAAGTATTTGATTGGTCAATTGTTTTCTTTACTCGAATTTCGTTCAATCCTAGTGCATGACACGATTTATTTGAACACTTATCACTTTGAACATCTCTTTGGCAAGCAACATCCTTGATACATTCATCTAAGTCGAGCACGGGTCCCTTTTTATATTGAGAACTTGTTCCTTCAATTGTTTTCAATGAATCTGACAACAGTTCTTTTTGCTTCATTTTAGTAATTATGTCTAACATGTTATTTAAACCTTTTTCAAAACTATTTATTATTCGTTGTTGATTGCTTGCCTTATTAGAGCTAGAACTTGTCAAACTAGGTTCCAATTTATTTTGAAATTCGTGACAGTATTCCGTAATACTGTTTTCGCTTTTACCGGTCAACTTTACTGTTTCACTGTGTTCTGTACTTATTTCAGGTAGTTTTATAATAGACAACTTTTTTGAACCACTTTTTCCTTTAAGTTCAGCTCGGAAATCATTACAAGCATTTATACAATTTTCTAAACTCCATGAAGTTGCACCCTTGTGTATCATATTTGGTGTCATTGTCTCAACATCAGATAGTTGCTTTTTTAATTGAACGGTACTGACATTAACTTTTTTTTCTTCAGCATTATGTATATTCTTCATACAACTGTCTACTTTGGTTTCAATATTCTTACAACATTGAAGAAAATTATTTGTTTCAACCGTGAAAACTCCTTGCCTTTTAAAGGATTTTATTATGTTACCTATATTATTTATGAGCCCATTTAAATTTTTCAACCTGTCTTCTATAATATTTGATTGATCATCATCGTTGAGGTCTTGCCCTGTATGTGTTTTAATAACTTCACATGTTTTAACAAAGTTTTTGACGCTGCTTGATAGATTTATTTTGCCTTTCATCTTTTCAGTGACATCGAGCACATTTTCAATTGCTTCACGCAACTTTAATATTTGCTGATCCTGTACTGATCGTTGACCGAAAAGGTCCACTAATGTCGCTCCTAACTCCCTACAATGTTCAGCAAATGTATTCCAATCTAAGCCACCTTCTAGTTGTTCTTTGATTGTATTCCCGGATCTTGGTTTGTAAGCATCTTTGCAAGGCTTGTGTGCCATTTTTTTTGTGAAAAATCAAAAATATATCTCGTATGTCAAACGTCTCAAAATCAATATTTTCTTCGATATCTTTTGATAGAATCCTGCATAGATTAGTAATCTTTTTTCTCCTTACCTGGTATTTGTAGTGTGTGTTATATGAACGACAAAAATGTTTAAATTAATTCGAAGATTCTTTGAATATAGCTTTGGTTCTTTATATATACAAAACCGTTCTATTCTTGCAACATCTTCTAATTCAGTATACATACTATAATATTATGAGATTTGAGATTTATGCTTACTCGTATTTACTACTTTTTCCGCTATTGCTTACATCAATACACGATTTACATTTTAAATCCGGTATCACCATTACGTCTTTGTATAAACTGAAATGCGACGAACTTTTGAAATTAAAATGAGTATCCTCGCTCAACGAGCTCAACAACATTGTGTCTGATTCATTCAACGAGCTATCGTATCCTGTTGTAGATTTAATAATTACTCTTCTCGTACTTTTGTGTTGATCCAGTATATATTCAATTTTTCTACTCAGGATTTTGAATTCATCAACTGCATCCTTGTTAATATCAAAGTCACTGCTGCATATTATATTTGGTATAGAAACACAATATCTTGCTACAGGAGAACACATAGCGGAACTAGAAGACAGAATTTCTGAACGCGCACACAATTTACGAAAAGGTGTCATTTCTTTTGGTACCACATATTCTACTTGTTTACTATCGTGGTACAGTTCTGACCTCTGTGACGTATTAGAGTTTTGGTAAGCAAGCCTTCCTTTACGACCCATTTGGTCAGAATTATTGGAATGCGGCAAAGGTATCTTGGTTTCTCGTCTAATTTTGATCACCTTCTTATCTTCAGTAATTGAACCATCTGGATGTACTTTTCTAATAACTCTTGTTATAACTTCAATTTCTGTTTCATATATTCCTTCCATGTCATCATCATCATCATTTTCTTCTTCTTCTTCTGCACCTTGCTGTAATGGTGACGCATGTAGTGAGCATGGAGGGGATATTAGAGACGACTTCGTTTCCTGTTCCAGTTCCTGTTTATCTTCTGGGCAACCATACTGATTTAAATATGTAAGTTGACACATAGGACATAAACTATCGTACTCAATATCAGCAGGAATAAAATCTGGGCATTTCATAAAATCGTCGGTTCTCCGTTTGTTTTCAGTTTTTAGCGATTTAACTCGCAAATCTTCCTCATATTTATCTCTTTCTTGTAACTGACTTTGTAATTCTGTCGCTTGTTTCACAAAGCTGTTTGTGTCTCTTAGCAAATGTCGTTCGTTTAAGTCATTTGTAGCTGCGATAATATCTGCAACTTTTTTCTTGAATTCATGTAGTTGTGCTATCATATTATCATCTATTGCTTCTGGAGCTTCAGGTATATATGAAACATCTCTGGATGGTGCTCCGCAAATAATGCAATTTAGGCAAGGTGGTGTATGATCGGTTAGCTCAATTTTACTTTCCTCCTCACAAACCTTAGGTTCCTCTACTTCCTCTACTTCCTCTACTTCCTCCACTTCCTCTACTTCCTCCACTTCCCCTACCTTAACTCTACGTTTCTTATTCAATTGAACAATCTTCTTCATCCTGAAGAACTCTTCTCTCGCCTTTTCTTCGATTTCGCTTATGATATATGCGATCGATGCCAACAACCTGGGTATAACTATTTTTCCTAATACGTTCATTTTCCTGCCGACAATCATTAAAAGTCACATTTTCATGTTTTTTAAGCTGCCGACGTTTTTGCGCTTATAAGGACTGCACGGATTTGAACAGTACATTATGGAAAACATAATATTTATACTTAAGCAGTGTAACAAACCTTTCACTCTGTGCGCGCGCGTGTGTATGTGTGTTGTGTGTGTGTGTGTGTGTGTGTGTGTGTGTGTGTGTGTGTGTGTGTGCGCGTACTGGATGTGCGTGTGCGTGCGTATTGAGTATGATAAATTTTTAATGTTAAAAAAATCTTGCACCATCTAATTATTTTACGTTCTTTTTTACATTGGTCTCCGTCTTTTTTCTTGCACCACTTTAAGAGTAGGACTTCTTCGCTGACAATGAACTCTAAGAGCATTTATAAACAAAAGTAAGTAATAAAAGTCATATTATAAATATTCGGGGGTAGTCGCCAAGTACACAACTAAATTTTTAGCTCTGCATATTATTTAATTTTAAAAATAGTACAATTGAATTTATATTAATAATTTATATGTTACAAAATAAGGCATAAATACTACTCGCCTGCAGTGTTTACTTTCCTTCATCACTCTCCTACATTACAAGACACCACTAAGCAATGGATCACTCACAGATACAATTCAACATGGATAAGATGGCTAAAATGTTTGAAGAGAAGATGGCAGAATTCCTAGCTGAGCTGAATCAGGCGTCAACTACACGTAAGAATCCTAATAGCATTGCAGCACTTAACACGGAGTTCCTGAACTTTAAAACATTTGTGTGCAACGGGCTCACTGTGCTGCGTGCTGAGATGGAAGCTCTTCATAACAGAGTTGACAGGATGGAGATGCGATTCTGGCGGAAAATGCTGCTAGTACATGGCATTCCCGAGCAGCTACATGAAGACACCTGTGCTGTCGTAGTTTCCACCTTATCATCTAGGTGTAAAATTCATAGCCTTACTGGAAATAGTATTGCCGCCAGTTACCGGATGGGTAAGCAGGTTCCCAGAAACACCAACCCGCGACCCATTGTCGTCAAATTTACTGATGCAACGGTGCGGGCAGCGTTGTGGAAAAGCAAAGTTGCACTAAAGGGATCAAAGGTCACTCTCTCTCCTTGCGAAGTCCCGTCATGTCGTTTTTGTAGCCGCCAGGCTAAAATTTGGGGTTACTAATTGCTGGACCTTGGACGGAACCATACATATCAAAACACCGGATGGCAGAAGCCACAGGCTGGAGACTATGTCCGAGTTTCTTGCGATTTCTCCAAGTACCACAGCGAACAAAATGTAGGACCCTCTTTTTTAGTACTTTAATTCTTGGCGTACCTACTTAATTTTGATCTTTTTTGTAATGCAAAATTTTAATTTGCAACATTCGTTTGTTACGATTTTGTCTCTTGACGTCAACTGTCACTAACATCTTTTTCTGACAGTTGCATAGCGATTATTCGTTCGGAAACGTGTTTAAATCTGTGATTCGTTTTGTTTTCGCTATGACATGCCAATGTTGCGCCGACATGTTTTATTTTATTTGTATACTTTATTATTAATTTCGTAAACGGAGAAAACTATTAATTTCCGATGCTTTTGTGTCTTGTTTTCTAATTATTTTTTGTCATTGTAAGCTATTCTCTTTCACACTGCTGGCGGATATAATGAATATTTTTGATTTTCTTATTATCATCATTATTTTAGTTTTTTAATTTTTATCTTAATTATCTTTTATTTTTTAGTGCTTCTTATTATATATTATATTCTCTATAATTACATACATATTATAATATTATATTAAATGTTGCAAACTAATGCCTACAACAGTAATGACTCTTTGAGTGATGGGTTGGATTTTCACTCAGCGTCTTCGCTTTCTGATTCTAGTTTTCATAGTGTGTTTCGACCATTAGATGAACTTCTGGAAGCTAGCTTTTCAGCCGTCGCGAAAAACTTTAACTCAGTCCATATAAATGCACAAAGTATTCCTGCCCATTATGCTGATTTGGTGAGCACTTTCTCAAATAATAGGAATATTCACGCAATATTAGTTTCGGAATCTTTTTTAAAACCATGTCTCCCTTCGTCTTCCTACGAGCTTCCTGGTTTCCATCTCATCCGCAATGATAGCACTGGTAAGGGTGGTGGTGGGGTTGCTATATACCTTAAAAGTATTCTTCCTTTCAATATTTTAGATAAATCCCCTTCTCCTTATTCTGAATCATCTGAGCATCTTTTTGTGGAAGTTTTTTTGGGCCATCTGAAGCTCCTTTTGGGAGTTTTTTACAGACCAAATCTACATATTGATTATTTTAGTAAGTTTGAAACTTTATTGGAAGATTTGGTACCCACGGTTGATCATACAATCATTATGGGTGATTTTAACACCTGTTTGATTAAACATGACTCCCGTTCTACTCAGCTTCGCTCAATCGTGGATTCTACTAATCTTAGCATTCTCCCATCTTCTTCAACGCACCACTTTCCTGCATGCCAGCCATCTTTGTTGGACCTTATTATTGTGTCCTCAACTGACCATGTTAGCGTACACGGTCAATTCCCTGCCGAGGCCTTTTCTTATCATGACCTCATTTACCTGTCATACAGAATCCGTTGCCCTAAGCTTGAGCCTCGGGTGATCATGCAGCCCAATTTTCAGAACTTTGATGAAGGTAGCTTTATGCGTGACCTTGGCGGTATTGACTGGGACGCTGTTCTTAGAGCCCAAACCATCGACCTGAAGATGGAAATTTTCAACTCGATGCTTATCCAGCTTTATGACAGTCATGCTCCACTCCGTCCTGTGCGGCTGAAGCATCTTCCGGCTCCTTGGCTCACAGCAGACATTAAAGCTCTAATGACTAGGCGCAATCTTGCTAAGGTTCGTTATAGAAATGATCCCACTGACGTGACCCACCGTAAATTTAAGGACCTTCGGAACCGTTGCAGCAGGGTATGCAGGGATGCGCAGCGCCGTCACATACATGCCTCAGTTTCTAATGGTGATCCTGCTAAGGTATGGTCATTTCTTAATACCCTTGGTATTGGCAAGTCTAAATCTCCTACTCCTTTTAACCTTGATCCTAACTCCTTGAACTCTTATTTCACAACGCCTTCCTTTCTTTCTACTAGTATTAAGCAATCTACGCTACAGTCGCTCTCTACCGCTTACGACTCACAACATCGGGCTTTCTCTTTTAGGCCCGTGACCGAGGGCGAAGTTGAGACAAATATCTTGGCCGTTAAATCCAATGCTGAAGGGCTGGATGAAATAAACCGTAAGATGATCTTACAAGGTTCTTCCATTCTTGTTCCTATAATTTGCCATATTTTCAACTTTTCTCTCGACACTGGCACCTTCCCGAGCTGCTGGCGTCAAGCTGCTGTAGTACCTATACCTAAAACCTCCAATCCATCTTTACCTTCTCATTTTCGTCCTATTTCTATTCTTCCGTTCCTTTCCAAAGTTCTTGAGCGTCTTGTCCATTGCCAGATCACAATATTCGTGAACTCGTGCAATATCCTTAGTCCTTTCCAATCTGGCTTCCGTTCAGGGCATAGCACTGTTACTGCCTTAACCAAGGTATCTGATGACATTCGCGAGGGTATGTCGAATCAACATCTGACAGTATTAGTTCTCTTAGATTTTAGCAACGCGTTCAATACTTTGATATATGATAAATAATGAATAATAATATAATAATAATAAAAATAATGACTTTGATATTCTATTAGCAACGCTGAAATCGGTCCTTGTGTCAGATTTGGTAGTGGAGTGGTTTCGCCACTATCTCGTTGGGCGTCGGCAATGTGTTCGTGTTGACAATAAGCATTCTAGCTTCTGTGACGTTACTGCAGGCGTGCCTCAGGGCGGGGTTCTCTTTCCTCTTCTTTTTTCCATCTTTATAAACTCCCTTACTCCCTTACTTTTTTGCCAGTATCACTTGTACGCCGATGACCTTCAGATTTATTCTCAGTCTCCTGTGTGGACGTGGACAATTTAATCGCCGAACTTAATGACGATCTCGCGACTATACACGATTGGAGTCGAACCAATGGCCTTACGGTCAATCCTAACAAGTCGCAGGCCATCGTCGTTGGAGGCTCGAAGCAAATCGCCAAATTAAATAATGCCACTATTCCCCCGCTTTTCTTCAACTCCTTCTCTCTGCCTTACAGTAATGTTGTTAAAAATCTTGGCCTTCTTTTTGACTCCACTCTGTCTTGGTTGCCACATATCGCTGAGGTGAGTAGGAGGGTGTTTGCTGCCTCTGAGTCATTGCGGCGTTGGAAAAATCTGTTTCCTGTGAGGACTAAGGTTGAACTTGCGCAATCGTTGCTCTTACCGATTCTTGATTACGCTGATGTCTGTTTCATTGACCTTAACGAGGATCTCTTAAGCAAACTCCAGCGTCTACAGAATCTTTGCATCAGATTCATATACGGATGGCGCAAGTTCGATCATGTGGCCGAATTTAGGAGAAGGCTTCAGTGGCTCCCTATCAAGTTGCGCCGTGAGGAGCACGTTCTCAGCTTACTTTACAATGTTCTATACGACTCTCGTACTCCGCCATACCTTAAGGTTCGTCTTCACTTCCTCGGGGATGATCACAACCGTGAACTAAGGTCTAAAATGGATAACCTACTGAAGCCTCCTTTCACTCGCTCTGAGTATTACAAAAATTCTTTTACTATTAAGGCTGCAAAATTGTGGAACGATCTTCCATTTGAAATCCGATATTCTAAGTCGCTACTTATTTTCAAAACCGGATTGCGTAAATATCTTTTATCACGGTCCTAGTCTGCAACGTATGTATTAGTAAGTATAAGTTTTTTTTTTATTCAGTCAGTTTAAGTTATTAGTAAGTATAAGTTTATTTAGGTATATTTATATATACATATATCTACGTAGGTATAATATATCATTATTTTTTAAATATTTTATAAATTACTATGTGTCTTTATTTAATTTTATTATTTTGTATTTTTTATTTTTTTATTTATACAATTTTTT